AAAAATAAAAAAAAATATTTCTCGCACCAAAAGTGGAAGGATAAAAGAATATAAAAGAATACGTAATTATGGCATAAAATTGGAGCCGTAGAACAGCTTTATCGCCTTGCTGACAATGTATGTCGCATAGCCCTTAACGGCAATTAGTACTTACGAACCACTCGTGTGGCTTCCGAAGAGATGTTGCGCATACACTGGTCAGGTGTAGATACTAACTGGAGGTGTGCAACTTAGGACCGAAAAACCTAGCCGTAACTGTGTCCGGCATGTCAAAACATAGTAACATCACTAATGTGAGAGACGGACATATTTCTGCAGTCATGGTCTTGATATTCTTGGTCCGGGTAGTCTTGGAGTTCTTGACAAATACAATGTTTTTGCGATCATCAAACTAATATTGTATTAAAAATCGTCATAACATTGGTGAATTTTTTTAAAATCGATATCTATTATATCAAAAAAAAAAAACTTCGCGTCCCCGTCGCGATAAAAAGAAAACTCCTTACCTTGAGCGTGAAACTTTTGAATCTCCTAGCGCACTGTAAGCGAAACTTAACGCTTATCCAGCAAAAAATGATGTTTTACGATTTCCAGTTAAAAATCAGTCTAAGAGTGATTTCACATCTTATCGCACCCGGCACGTCGGTAATATTTTACCATCGAAACTTGTCATAACTGAGGAACAGTTTTTTCTTAAGTACGTCGGAACCAAATTTCAGCAAGCTTATGAAAAATCGGAGATCATTACGTTTGCATTAATTTAAATCGAAATCTGAAAACTTCGTGCGTGTGATGCCACCAGCTTTCTGTTTTCGTTTCCAGTTGTTACAAACAAAATTTTGAAAGCAAATACACTATGTCAGCGCAAATTTTACCATAGATGGGCGATAATTATGAAGATTTGGGACCAGTACGTGATATACCGCCACCACCACCACCACTAATAGGACCACCAGTTCCGTCTCCTGGCGTGCCAGCTCCACCTCCAGGAGCACCGATTGTGCCACCCAATGTACTGTTGCCGCCTCCAGGAATCGAACGTACAGTGTTAAAGTCGGCGCAAATGGGAGGTAGATTTCAAATTTTTACAAACTTTCCAAAGATGCAATTTTCAGCTTTTTACTCCGCACACATCTTTTCGAATTCAAGAAAAAAAGAAAGAAAGAATAAAAAAGGAATTGCTCGCGAGCAGCGCTAGTGAAATGAGTGATGATTTTTCACAAAGCCATGTCCGACACAGAAAGCCCCCGACCCTAGGTCACTCTACCGCTGAAATCCGCGAAAAGCTAGCAAGAATGGGGGTATGTTCGTAGCCCGTAGCAGCTGTGTTAGAAACTATGAAGTAGTAGTGAAATGAGTATAAGTAACACATAGAAGTGCCTACAAGTGCAGTGGTTCTTCATTCTTCAGTGTGGAGCATGAAGCTGATAGTGTAATGGATAAATACAGTAGGATTAGAAGAAAACTCAGAAAATTCTGATGAAAGATTCGATTCCCTTGCGATCCATATCCCGATCCATGCGATCCGTATCCCAGTGTATTCAAGCTAATCTCTGCAACTGCTCGATGTCGATTTGGTGTAAGAATATTGTGGCATAACGTTGTTTTGCGGAGATATCATTCCAATCAAAAATATTCAGTAGCAGTTCGTCCTGCGTGCACCAGTAAACTTCTCAGACCATGTGTCACCTAACTGTAACAGTTCATTAGCTACAATTCAAGGCATTTTACTTCGGGCAGGCTTTTGACTGTCCACCAACACACATTTGTTTTGCTTGGAGTGACCTCTAACTCCAGTCACCGTTGTTTTTTTTTTTTTTTT